GATAAGTGACACTCTTATGCCTGGGGCAACCTTGAATCACCAGCTTTGAAGTTACAGATCTGGAGGTGTATATGGGTTTCTCTCCACTAAAAAAAAGTAAAATCCCAAAACCCCAGCAAATGTGGTCCCAGCCCAGGTCAAGTGCTGGGAATAATTCCATTGCTGCACTAAGAGATGCAACCTAATCAATCACCAAAATACCTTATTTTTAGTCCTAACTAGAGCTCCAGAGCTCAGCAAAGTACCTGCACAGCAACAGCACAAGGCTGGTAGAGAGAGGCATCTCAGCATCTCTCTTCCTGGCAGAAATTCCTGTATCAGCCAAGCTAGCAGAATCTGTCTGTTTTGGGAAACAACAGATATATCAAACATTCTGGCAAAGCCCAGGAGAAATGACAGTTCAATGATGTTGAAAAGAAAATTATCAGAGAGAGATTAATTTGTCTGACAGTATGTCTTTATGCTCTCCACTGAGGAAGAACAAGAGTCCTTTCATGCATATTGAATTTACTCTGGTGTGAGTCAACCTCTGTCAGTAGGGCTCTAAGTGCTGCCGGTTTAGGAAAATACGTGATCGCTGCTACCTGGCACCTGCCCCCTGCACACCTCAGAGCACCAAAGCTTCCCAGCCACAGCTTCTGCTGCCAGCAATGCTCGTTTTACACCATGGTTTGAGGCATAGCATTCAGAATATCTCCGGCACTATCCATCAAAGTATTTGCTTAAGGAGGCAGACAGGACAGCCAAATGCAGGGCTGCAGGCCGTGGAAAGCCCGGAGTCTGGTTTTGGAGATGCAAAGAGGTAAGGGAGCAAATGGTGCCTGTTAACAGGAGGGGCAGTCCCAACATTTCTCACATGACTTTGCAGGTGAGGTACCCTGCACTGCTGGCTGCCAGGGGCCATGTCTCTCTGCAGAACCAGCAAAACTTGACCATGTTTTGCCACAGCCAGCCCTTGACTGCGGTGGTGTTGCAGCTTGTGCAGAAGCAATAACCCCTGAACAGGTGCAGAATGTAGAACAGTGAAGACATAGAACAATGTTCTACTCAGAGTATCTGCAGCAGTTGTGTATCACACACTCACCGTCCATTCTCCTTCTAAGACATCCATGAGCTAAAAGTTCAGATACAAAGTAAAGTCCAGAAGTTTCTGGTCCTTTTTCTGATACTTAAAAGATGCCAAACACAAATGACAGTGGTATGGATTTTGCCTTATGCTCCTGCTGTTCTGCACAGCCCAAAGGTGGCAGCAACCCAACTGAACCCATGGGCTGTTTCTTTCCTGGGAGCAGGCACATGAAGCAGCAGGAATGGTGTGTCACTTCCCAGCTGTGCCACAGCTGGGGACAAGGACAGAATCACTGGGGGACTGCTGTGTCCCAGTATGGCTGGGCAGCGAGAGTGCCACTTGGAAGGCTGCAGCAGCTGGCATCCCAAAGAGCAACCCTGCTGCACCCCTCTGCTGGCCTGCAGATCCTGGTGTGCAGTGCAGCAGCAACAGGACAGCTTCTTCCATCGCAGGTTTTTCTTCTGCCAGCCTCTTTGCTGAGAGGGCAAACTGCACAGGCAGTAAAACTGAGCAACTTAACTGTTGTTTACTTAAAGCATTGCCCAGACTACTTATTTTCCCTAGCATGAATCTTGGTACTGTTGGAATGAGTTGAGCAGATCTTCCCACCCAAAAGATGAACCAGAAACTGTCACAAGATAAGGCATGAGAAGTTTGGCTGAAGAACAAAGACACAAACAAAGAGGGTCTGGCACCTGGCAGCTTCAATAACGGTAGATGCCCTTCAGCTTGATTGACCCACTACATCAGTCCATGCTGACCTCACTGCTCACCACAAAATTGAGATGCATTCCTCAGCCCATGGCAGCATCACCTCAGTGAGACTAAAATAAAACCCACTGAAAGGTTTTATATAATACCAAGGCTACAAGATCTCTAATGTAGTTTTCTTATTGGAGCAAGAGCCAAGTACAGCTTAAATTCATTAGCTAATGGCCTGTGACAATGAAGGACAAAGACAATTATTATGCACATTTCCCAGCTGATTGTTTCTATGTGAAGAAAATGCAACAAATTATTGTTCTCCTATATTAACGTACCATAAAGGATTACTATCATATCTATTTCAAAAAATCCCTATCCCTTTCAAAATGCAGATGAATGCCAGATAAATTTGATTTTTATAGATGAAAGCTTGGTGGAAAAGTCAAGATTTTATTAAGGCCATGGACAATCACATTATATTTTATATGATATGATGCCTTCATTACTGATTCAGGAAATTGATCTCAGGACATTTTTTTCTACTGAAGGCTTACCAATTCCCTGAGTATCTCTCATGTATCTTAAACACTTATCCTTGGATATAATAGTCAGAGGCGTTCTTAATAGCTGCTTGTATTTATAGAAAAGTCAAAAAAGAAATACAACATAACATCATAGACTCACAGAATCATTGAGGTTGGAAAAGACCTCCAAGATCATCGAGTTCAACCTTTGACCAATCAACACTTTGTCAACCAGACCATAGCACTGAGTGCCACGTCCACTCATCAATTACTGTGTTCAGTAAGGCACTTATCACCTGGTCATAAAAGGAGATCTCGTTGGCCAGGCAATGTGCTGGGTGATCACACTCAAGATCTGTTCCATAACCTCCCCAGGCACTGAGGCCAGGCTGACAGGCCTGGAGTTCCCCAGATCCTCCTTCCAACCCTTCCTGTGGATGAGTGTCACACTGACCAGCCTCCAGTCACCTGGGACCTATGTGGTCAGCCAGGGCTGATGGTGAATGCTGGGCAGTGGCTTGGTGAGCCCTTCCATCAGCTCCCTCAGAACCTTCAGGTGAGTTCCATTCTGCCCAACAGACTTGTGAGCATCTAAGTGGCACAGCAGGTCACTACCCACCTTCTCCTAGATCACAGGGGGTCTTTTCTGCTCCCTGTCCCTGTCTGCCAGCTCAGGGGGATGATTGTTCTAAGGATAACCAGTCTACCCTAATGTGGAAAGTGAAAATTATTTCATCACTTCCAGAAAAATGTATGGTAGATCACACTCTGTAGTCCTTGAAATTTTGTAATGCCAATTGGTATTGAAAGCACTGAGGAGAGGATGTGTCACCTTAGTCTGCCAACTGCTGTAAGTTCAGAGGAAGCAGGACCCAGCCAGATCTCCCACAGTTTCAGGGGCCTGTTCTGTACTCATGTACATGTGGAGCAGTTTGGCAGCTCTGACAAGAGGCTGCTGTCCTGCACTAGGTGAAAAAGGGGAGGACTGACTCCATCATCCATCAGTGGTGATGGCTTTCTCTCATCTTCAGTGACAATTTAAGTTTTTCTAAAGCTGTGACTGCTTCCTCATCCCTTGCCCCTTTCCCAGACAGTACTGGATAACTAAGTCAAAAGACACTTCTCCCAGCATTTGAGTAAATGACCCACAACTCTACTAACACCAAGCAAGCTTTGCAGAGGAGCACAAAAGGCCTGGGTTTAAGCACAGCATTCTCTGAAGTTAGATATTCAAGTAAGCATCCACCCATTGTTCTCACAGACCATGCAGGACTACTCAGAAACCCACTTGAGGCAGCAACCCATCCTCCTTTCCCTCTGTACTCACTCCCAGAGTGTCGCTCACGGTGTCCCAGTTATTTTGGAGTTAACAGGTCATTCTCACAGGGCTTGACAAAATCCCAAACTCAGTTATCCTCTAGTGACAAGTGTGAGCAGGAAGCCTCCATCAGCAAGGGCTCCGTAATCCATCCTGAAATGAAAAAACTCAGGGAATTCTGGTTTCCCAGCATGGCCTGGGATCTGCCATTACAGCTGGTCCAAGGGCTTTGAGGTGCACTGCAAGGCTTTTCCCTCTTGTTCCTCCCCCTGCTTCCACAACCCCAACTTTGTACATTTTCTCTTTGCAGCTGACACTTGCAGTATAAGCCACTGAGGCTGTAATAAAATGCTCAACACTAACGATATATATGGAGTGTTACAGATTATGAAATTCAATGTCATTTTTTTAGAAGTCATAAAAACATTATCTGATTCCCAGTAGCCCCCAGAGAGACTCTGGAATATGTTTATACACTGAAATGTCAAAATCATAAAGTGCCTGCTTTTGCACTATTTATTTTTCGTGGTGGTGAAGTAGTTATTACGTGACATTTTATAAATACAGTGACTCAGAAATAATTAGTGTGCTGAATAACAATCTTTCCACTCTAATACAGCACCATACATTTTAAACCCCCGTTTTTCATGAGGCACTCGCACAGTGTAGCTTAAATACTACAAATAAAAGTGAACTCTGGAGGGGGAAGAACAATTCTGCTGTTGAGTTTTGGTTTCTTTTCCTTCCAAGGGAGGTGCACTGATAGTCACGACAGCAGGGTTAGGCAACAAGCAGCAGTAACTGTGCTCCCCAAAGGGCAGGGACAAAAGAGGCAGCATGTCTCACTGTTATGACACAAGGGAGAGGTTCCAAGAGAGTATCACGTTAGCAAGATTAAAATTAACAAAAACACTGAACAAAATCCTTCTTTGAAGGAAGGAGATGATTTAAAATTGCTTGTAATTAATACTGGAGAAACAACACTGCACACAGCCCTGCTCTAGCCAAGAAGTCTTCCAGATTTTCACTGCTCAGCTTGTAATACTCCTACTTACTATTTTTTTTTTAAACACACAGTGGATTTTATTGCCTTTTTTAGCTATTAATACGCAACCAATTATAAATTGTGAGTTGCAGCACTGGGTAATTTCCCTTCAAGAATGCTAAGCATATTCTGCACTGTATCAGGCCATGTGACAGCACAGCAGCTACCATCCTCTCTGACTTTTTTTTAGCAGCAATTCCTAAACACATGCTCAGCAGGAAAACTGGAGCAAGCCCCATCTTAGGACCTCCTTGTGACGCTGTTTTTTAACTTCTTGGATATTCTGCCTAAAAATAAAAGGAAAATTTAGGATTTAAATCAAGTTCTTAGGGGTGGAGATTCAGATGAACAATAGGAAATAGCAGTAGTATTTATTGCATCGTGGAGGTACTTGTCTTATTTTCTCTCGCTGCTGTTGTGCTGGCACCGCATTCAAAGCTTCTTCTTGAGGCCTGTCAGAGGAGAGAGGGCAAACTTTAGGTGCAAGGTTAGAAAACTAAAAAGAAAATAGAGAAGTCAGTGTGAACTTTGATTTCATGCAGACGCAATGCACCTCACCCTCTTTCCTATTTTTGTTTTTCCTGAGATAAAGTACTTGCAATGAAACCACCCTCCCACTGAGTAAAGGTATCATTATTAATAGTTGTTGATACCCATCTGTGTAAGCACTGATGACAGTACTTGGGCCAAGATGAAGGCAGCTGGCTGAGTCTGCAGCAAGCCCAAGCAGTAAGAGCTGTTCCTGAATTTGAACATGAGCATGGAACCAGTAAACACACTACCCACAGAAGGAACTACAGATGAGGATGCACACTATTTATGCCTGCTTTACACCTCTTTTCTGTTAAAAAATCCCTTTACTGTGCAGAAAAATAGTTCTTTACACTGAAATGGAAAAAATGCTGAGGCCAGGCAGTACTTTTTATTGTTTTACCATAATCACAGGATTATGGTAAGTCACAGGATTACTTGGTGGGTGTCAGAACTGGATTTTGGCTGAGGCAATCTAATGCATAGGGACCCTACATGGTAACACAAGCTCAGACATAAAACACCAAGCTGAGGCCAGAGCTGTGATATCTAATTGCCTTTGCCCAGAAACTGCAGTCAGCATTTGTAATCCTTAACAGGGAGTTTCAAAACAACCTCCAATGTTTGTGAAACCTAAGGCTGAATTTGTGTGCTGCAGTGTCAGGGGAGCTGAGGACACTCCAGGCTTTTTGCTGCTGCACTGCTTTGTGGTTTCCAGCAGGATGTTGGTGTGTCCTTTCCACACTGGCCCCCTCAGCTCCAGAGATCCTTTCTCTCTCCACATCTTCACATCATCTTTCAATCAACAGTTGTTAAAAGAACTTCCAGAAGAGTTTGCAGTTCATAACAGTCTACATTTGAAGATAAATTCACAGTATGGAAAAAAAAATACACTCAAGTATAAAATACCCAGATTAATTCATGGTCCTTGTTTGTTCTTTCTGTTTTATCCTTCACTCCCTCCACCATTTATCAGAGGTTCAAACTGGTGCAAATGACCTGAATGTGTGACACTGAATGTGTGAATGTGTGACAACATGATCCATCTAAGAAACCTAATTCAGAAGCAATAATTTTTCTTACTTTTCTTTATTCTTTTCCTTCTCAGAATCTGAGAATGTCCATGGGAGCTTGCTGAGGAACCATTTTGATTTGCCTGTTTGTGTAAAAATAATCCATGTTTCCTTGACATGTTGAGAACACAACATGCCAGGAATAACTTGCATACTTTGGGAGGTCTTTCTGCTTGTGAAAGTCCAGTATGCTACTGGCTTTATGAGGAGGTCTTAAACATGCTTGTGGAACTTGAAAAAGGTGTTTCCAATGACTAATGCAGTCCATTTGTATGGAGAGCTCAGTAAATTAGCAGAAATGTTAAGTGTTACTAGAAGCAATTGCTCTCTTATGCAAAATACGAAATGGGCTCATCCGGAAATTTTACATCTCCTAGCTAATAGTGAAATAACAGACCATCACAAACTCTTTACAGACTTCTTATTTGGACACACTCCACATCCTTCCCCCAGGCAGCATTCTCCTGGCCAGCAAAAACCTCTGGGAGATTCTATCTGCGTTGACATCTCTGCAGTTCCAGCCCCAGCCAGGCCCAGATAGCAAAGCAAAAGCAAGCTGAGGGTAACAGCATTTATCTTCAGAATATATGGCAATATGTGTCAAAGAAGAATATCCTGGAGTCATGATCTAAAGGGCTGCCATGTCCATAGAGCTGAAAAGGTTTTATGTAGCTTTTTTTTTATTGTTTGTATCATCTTTAGGTCTCACTGTTGTAACTTATGGTTATATGTGGGGAGAGCTTAAGGACTTAGCCTTTCTACCTTTGCTATCATCTCTTTAAAGAGTTTACTTATTGATGCATGAAAAGGCCACTAAAGTTGGCGATGTTGCAACATTTTTATTAGGGAATTTATCTTGTGGGCAGCCTGCTCTAATTTGGTTTATCTCCCAGTGAATATCAGAAAATATAACATGTTGGAGAAACACACGGAAGCCTTGGGATCCCACGTGCTGCATGGTCACTTTTGCTTACATGAGTCCTCAGCAAAGGAGTGATGGCACTTGTTAAAAGCATTTGTTGGTGGACTGAGGGCAACCTGGGAGCTGCACAGGCCCCAGTGCTCACTCTGTGCCTGACCTTCCCATGCAGCAAAAGCCCCTGCTGGTATTTCTGCCCAGACATTTCTGTGGGCACAGAGGCAGGGATGGTGTTTGCAGCCACACCTACTCACAACTCTCTGCTGTGTGAAAATGCCTGTTCCTCGCTCATCTAGCTTTCAGCTGAAAAGATCTAGAATTTGATTGCATCCCAAGACACATCTGGCTGTAGCACTGCAGATAGGGTCCTTGAAAAACTACAAAGAAAAGGTGTTTAGGTTAAGAATACTCTTGTGATTAAAAAAAATATATATATTGAAAGTCCTCAAGTGCTTGTTTAAAGAAAATAATTTTCATTAAAATATTGGCACAATTTCAAGCAATTTGATTTTAATTTTGAAGTGTTGAAAAATACCCTCAGATAATTTCTGCAGCATTCCAGAACCCAGAAGTGATCATAGAAAACATGTCACTTAAGAAATCAACTGCAAAACTAAAATTCATTTCCTGCTTTCCAAGAAAACAAAAAAGGGCCTGAGGCTCTTAAGTCTTTATGAGAAAGACCTTTTCACAAGCAGTTTTCAAGCAGGCAACTGTGGTTTGCCTTTTTTCCCCTAAACAAAACCGAGTTTGCACATTCAGAAAGTTTCCAAGAACCACACAAGATATAGGAATATAAATAATTTACTGGACTTTGGTACCAAGTACACTACTTTAAGCATGGCTCAGTTGGACCTGAAAGCAGTCTAAAGTCATTGCATTATGATTTTAAAGATGCTCAGTGATGCATATTTTACAACATTTGTGCTCTGAGTTTCATCAAAGCAGCAGTCTGAGCATTTTGTATTAGGGTTTTCTTGACTTTAGGATTTAGATGAAACTTGAAGACTTCCTGGCTTCACTGAATCCTCGAGAGGTGCTCAAAATCAGAAAGCTCTGCTGGTTTGCATCCAAAGTCTGACTTAGTTTTCACCAGAACCCACCTATTGGCCTAAATTCTCACAAATTCAGGTCTAGGTTTACTAAAGCTTCAGTTCATTGACCTTGGGTGGAGTTCAGCTCTTTCTTCAAAGAAACCAAGTGAAATTGTGTCTCCAGCTCACCTCAGAGGAGTGAGCAGCTCCCAGCCAGGCAGGTTCTTTCACTACCAGTGCCACTTGTGACAAGATGTGCCTCCATCTAGCAAGGAGATGTTGCAACTTGATGCAAACACAGCTGTTGCTTCACTTTGGTTTCAAGGAAGCAGATTCTGTAAAACATTCTGCCAGGAAAGTTGGTTTCCATTTAGAAAGGAGAAAAAAATTGAAAAGAAATACAAGACAAATATCCCTCTGAGCAAGCTTTTGAATGCTCTCCTTTGTTAACTAATACAGTTAACAGGACTGAATATGACAAGATTCCCATCGAGAGCATTCCAAACAAAAACTTCAATAGAACTTTTCTAACTCATAGAGCTGATGAGATAGAGCTTCACAATTTTTTTATTCAAGTTTTCCAGTGTTTTGTTGTCTTTTTTAACTAGCAGTGCGTGCCTCGGATGCTTAGTCCTTACCCTGGGATACCAAAAAGTGACCTTTATTTTGTGGGAGAGAGCTTTTGACAAATTATGCCATTTTAAGTATTGATAAAAGGCACATAAAAATTTATATCTAAAAAATGCCCATTTGGAAAAGGCAGCCAAGAATTTTTATTTTTTAATCTCAATACCATTCTCTAGATATAGTGTCTACCCCATTTTTTCAGTTCTCCACAGCAGCTTTTTCTGGATTTACCATAATCCTCACATTAGCAACATACTCTTCACCAGCATATTTTCTTGAAGGCAGATAAGAAATTAGAGATAAATTGAATCACTTGATGTAAATTATTCAGGGTGTTAATCCTGATGCATGTGGGCTGGGAAGAGAGGACTGCTTTGTTTGGTTTGGTAGTTCTGCCTCCACTGTGCTTCACACATGTGGTAAGGCAAGGGTAATAAATCAGAACAAAGGAAATAGAGGACGAAGGCTTTAAGGAACATGTGTTTTAGAAGAAAAACTTGGCTCACCACTAAAGCAGCATTGCCTTATAATAGACGTTTAAAATTCAGATGTAGAAAGAGACTGACAAGACTATATAAATACAAGAGACTTGCAGGTCTGTGCAGCTTTCAAACAGTACTGTGAGCCAGTCCATCTTTGCCAGCCCCTCCTGGGTCTGGACAGGCAGATCCCATGCTCCAAACCAGCAGGATCACAGCACTGGTGGCAGCACGGTTCATCCCGAAGCAATACTGCAACACATTATCTTCAACAAAGCAGTAAAGAATTCAGCCCAACCCAGGCAGCTGACACATTGTCTTCCAGGACCACAGCTCTCTCCAGCTGCTGCTGACACGCCTATTGCAAACCCATGCCAGCCAGGAACATGCTGCTGGAGGAATCATTTGCCATCCCTGGGATCTGTACAACCCTCACACTGCAGTGTCAGGGCAGCAGTTTCACACAGCCAGGAGGACTCAGCTGAGACTCTGTTGCCAGCCTTGGGCAGGCAGAAACTGCTCAACAGAAGAACTACTCTGAAGCAGATTTGCCAAGGTGTTTAGGAACCTAGACATGAAGAGGTGCCCCATGGGTTTTCCCAAGGCCTCCAAGTGGTTCAGGCTCTTCAGATTCAATCCCTGAAATGGGAATTTTCCTCCTCTCTCCCTCCAGTCTCCTAAAGAACTTAGTGTATTTGCTTTGCATGGCAAGGTGCTGATAGGATGGGAGGTTGCAGGGGTGGTGTCTGTAGGAAGCTGCTGGAAGCTTCCCCCACATCCCACAGGGCCAATGCCAGCCGGCTCCAAGACAGACCTGCTGCTGGGCAAAGCTGGGACAGTCAAGAATGATGGTAATGCCTCTGTGACAGCATTTGTGAGAACGAAAGAAAAATAGTTTTTGGGCACAATTGGACATAACTGCAGTCAGAGAACAGAGGAGTGAGGAGAACAGCTCTGCAGACACCAAGGTCAGTGGAGAAGGAGGAGGAAAAGGTGCTCAATCCACCACACTTTTGAAAACCCAAGAAGTGCCACTCTGTGTGTTTGAGTACCTGAATACTTCTGCAGAGTTTTGCATTTCATGACCCTTCCCCTCCTCCTGTGGACTGCCAATGGGACTCCCAGCCAGGCTGGTGGCCAAGGTCAGCATTGGACTGACCAGTGCTAAAGGCAGTAAAGCAATCTTGGCCGCTGGCAGGACACAAGAAATCCCAAGAGGATGACAGGGCTCCTGTTTGTCTGTCCTGTGCCTATTAACCTCTGAGGGTAAATGGTCTCTATTTCACTTAATGCAACAGCTTTGCTGCCAGTCTTCTGCCAATACACTTTAGGCCAAGTAGTCTAACATTAAATGTATCCCACATACACTTTGTTGTGATATTAGTCTGCCTTTTCAAATTTTCCTCTTTTTTCATGCTTTATCCATTCCAAGCTTAAATAAAAGCAAAGCCCAGGTTCCAAAAACTGAGTGGTGACTAAGGTGGGGGCTGTGAAAAGGAATAGAGAGGGAAGAGAGCTATAAATGGAATCAGGGAAGCATGGCTTGGGGTGATTAATGAGCTTACATCTGTGACGAGTACTTACTATAAACAGCAGGTAGGGAGGCAAAGCCAGCAGCAGAAAATGCTCAGGAGCAAAGGAGGTGGAGCCGTGCACACCCCCCGCCCCCATCAGCAGCGACCCTCCTCAGTGGGGCTTTGGGTGGGGTGCACAGCAGGATTTGTAGAACCATTGCGGAGCAGTATGCATCCTTGTGGGAAACTGGGAGAAAAGAGGGATTAAAAAAAAAAATACAATTCCCTTACTAGCGGCAAAACAGTAAAGTCCTGGCTAAAGGTGCAGCTAGGAAGTGCCTGTGCTTTTCCCCTCCTTCCCTGGGATTTTCCTCTAGCAGTGGATATCCCTGGTGCCCACACTGTGGTTTGCAGCTGCCTGGCATATGGGGCAGCTCCAGTGGGGTAGAAAGAGAAGGATTTTGGTAAGATTGAGGGACTAATTATCAGGGAAAATGCAGTGCAGTTTGGAGCATCTGTTCTGCATTATTCAATAGGATCCCAGCATTATCATTCCTAAGGGTAAACATGGAAATGAAGCCTCTGAAATCCTCTTGTTGGTTTAAAAACAGAAAAACACAAGCAAAGAAAAAGTTTCAATGGAAAACAAAACCAAAATCCTCGCCCCCCCCACCAAAAAAAAAACCTGATGCTTTTTAACATTACATTGTATTGAAAACTGAAACTTCCTCCTTGTTCTCTGTTCCATGATCCATTGATCCATCCCTCTGAGGAAAGCTCAGACTACTATCAAGTAGTGAGAAAATGGAGAATAGGCAAAATTGGAATTCCCGAGATGGATAGTTATGGATAAACACAATGCAGACTTTTTTTTATAAATAAACTGGCCAAGACTGAATTATTATTAAAACAAAATATCAATTTTAAACAGTGAAAACAGAAGCT